CACATCAAAATTGAAATCGAACCTTTCTCATTGCCTCCCTAAATGCTTGCACCCACATTCGCGGAATTGGCCCTTAAATTTCAGTCCACCATCGGGTTTTGCGTCGAGTGAGAGCAATGATTCGTATAGGTACGATGCCAACGGGTTCAGAAAAATTGACACGCATAGGCCACTGGTGGAGGGGAGGGCAATCGTCAGCTGTAATGATATAGATAGAATGCTCCATCAGTGCCTGACGAAATTTTTCTAGTGCAAATAAAGAAGCATTGGCAGCGATCGTAAATGCCATGAAAACAAAAAGAGATCCATTTCAATACATGTCAAGGGGACTGGATTTTTAAGAGTGAAGGATGGAAGGCAGTGCAAATATTTTTGCATGTGTTTTGTCGTCTGCTCAAGCAAACCAAAGCTAAGCAAGGTCAAGGTTCCACATTTTGACAATCCAAGCGCCGAAAAAGACAATTAATGTTTCGCCTGAATCTTGGACGACTCCATCACATCACAGCCTGCGGCAGTTGGCGAGGAAGGAGACACGCAGGGAAAAACTTGAACGCATTAATTCTCGAGAAAGCATGAGGCAGGACCTCATAGATCATAGGGAAGTAGACTCATCGGCATGCATGTAGTAGGGGAGAAATCTTGGTAATCGCTAATAGGTCCACATACGAAAAATCATAACGTTTCCCCGCGTTCTTGAGAAATTCAAGCTTGAAAGTAGATAATGTCTATAAATACGCCCGCGCAGACACATATTCGTTCACAATCATATCAGATGGGGGTATTAAACTTTCAGTATCGCTCTGATTCTTAACACGAATCAATTTTCATCCCAGATTCGTAGATAGTTAAGGGGCTATGGGTGTCCCTTCAAGCAATGGATATGTTTACGGCTATCGTCTATTGGTTACCAGTGTGGAAGGACTCTTCGGCAAGGCAGGAGTGGTTTTTCATGCCGATAGGATTAATCATGATTTCCGTGACATAATATTGTGAATATTTTTTCATCGGATCCCGTCAAATTACAAACCATTCCCGGAACGAAACAGAAAAGATGTTACATTTGGAAGACTCTCAATGCACTGGAAATTTTATTCAAAAATTTTCTTTTAAAAATCCTTATTTTTTTCTCATGAGACATTGTCTCACCCGCTACGGAGGAAAACTTTTTGGTGTGAACGAAGATTTAACTTTCGCCAAAAAGTGTATATTTCCCAGCAACCAAAGTGCAGATGATACTCGAACTAAGATACACCTCACGTCTTAGAAACTTCACACCGCAGGCCACCTCTTGACTTACTTTGATGAGGAGAGTGCATATACTTTGTTTTCCTTGCATCACATGGGATATAATAAATACCCAACAAAATGACAGTACAGTGGCCTCCTGGGGTTACCGTCACACTGTAATGTTCCATTCCACAAGAAGACATCGACGGTTTCCCCATTCATCATATGAAGTAGAATGGACTGGCCTGGCATCTGGTCGTGATCATAAAATTTCCCATCAGAATAGTCCTGAGACGCTATAAGTCCTTTTGAGATTCCATTTTTCCTAATTCCCAGTCTCAGACGAGTCTGATACATCCAAGCATGAAAATGAAAAGCATAAATGCCATCGAGAGGTGCCGTGAAAAATCCTTTTTCAGGATCCATGGCTCCGCCGATGTTGACTTCAGTCCAGTTGAATTGAATTACACTGTTTTCATTTCCAAAAGGTCCAAAAACATCAAAACAGATACTTTGCCATGCAATACGGGCATTGGTCACCACCTGAAACTTCGGATTGGTCTCCTCCAAATCCATCCTACACATAACAATATCCAGGCGACCTTTCTTGGAGTTGATCAAGTAATAACCAGGATGAGTGTTTCCAGCGTGACGAAGAGATGAACACGATTCTACTGGATTGTCCGGGGGAGGAGCCTTGCCCTTGCAAGACAATCCACCCAATGTGTAATTCGCTTTCTGACCCTTAAATTGTAGTCCCCCGAAGCGCATCTCAGTTATGGGCAGTGCTGTTTCATTCGTTATCACTCCTGCGTCTGATTCCCATTGGGGAGCTTTTGCATCACAATTGCAAGGGAGGTTGGAGTCTATGCAGTTGCCAGAGAGGCCGCAGTTGCACATGTGTTGTCTTGAGTTTGACCCGTCCCAGTAGTATTGAGGTTCGCCGTGACGGTCCACCCACCATGCATATTGTATGCCTCCAGTTGCGAGGCCCGTCGTGAAACAGTCATACTGAAACGAGACGTAGTCAATGCTGAGTCTGATACATCGATAATTATGCAGGGTTCGATGGTACTCTAAAGTCAACATTCTATTTGCGGATTTTCAGTTGTGATTCCTAGGTCTTAGGCAACACAACGAGGAAGGACAGGGAGATATATGACATTTTCGAATATCTGTAGTGGGTAGGATAAATTATGTAGCGTGTCGTGCGATAGGAATCCGTGACCGATAAAGCAGGCAATTATTCTTCGAAACTGAACTTCGCTCAAAGAAGCGGAAACTTGAACGCAGACGCTTGATACAAGATATGACCTTCATTATAATCAAGAGGTAACCATTTCGTGGCAATTTGATTAAATATTTCACAAACTGCATGTGGATAGATGAAAAAGGGCTTTTGCAATTTTTTTTAAAACGAGATTGACAGAATATACCAAGTGATACACTGTTTAAAACTTGAAGACTAAAAAAAGTGAAGTTTGCCTCCTTTCCCGTTCTGGATGGCATGCAAACACTCGCTGTGCAGCTGAGGCGAACGCATCAGCGGGCATGTCCAGAAATGTGCAAGTTTTGAACGGTGTCTCATGTGAGGCATTCAATCAATCTGATTAAAAATTCCCCAAAGTTATCCATTACCTACCTATATGCAGTTTGCGAAATATTGGGCCGAATTGGTGACGTTACCCATCATTCCCATTTAAAAAACTATTGTCGTGGCTTTTTTTGAGCTCGTATAACAAACTTCTTTTGCATATCAAGTTTGAAATGTCATAGAATGCGTCAATTTTCTTTACATTAAAATAAAGTTAATTTGAATTAATTAACTGTTGTTAAGAGCGAAAATGATTTGGGAAAGTATTTTTTAAACATCATGTAGGACATGGTTAGAATTAGCGTCAGCTACTCAGTGACGATTGTCAATATACAGGGTGGCCCAAGAAAGGGGCACCCTTTTCAATACGGAATTTACGTGTCATGATTTTAAGAATTTTTTCCAATGACATGTACCTGTAATGGAAATAAGTAATATTCAGGTACAAAATTATTTTTTAGACTTGAAATATATTAAACATTAGAAACAAATTGTAGAATTTATAAAATAACTTTCGTAATATCCAAAATCGGCATTTCCCTCACCAACCGCATACAGCCGCATCCACATGAAATCATCCTCGCAACGTCTGCGGAGATCGGCGTTTCATTTCCCTTTATCGTGAGTGTCGGGTTCCTCGAGTGGATAAGGGATTGAGTTTGTGAGCGGAATGGCGATTTTTCGCAACCGAATATCGCATCTTTTTTTCTAAGTCACCGTTTAAGATATTTCATGTCTGAAAAAGCATTTTCAGCTTAATCCTTATTCTTTCTATAGCATATAACCGGTAAAAATATATATGAAAGCATCGCACCAAAAATGCATACTGAAAAGAGTGTCCTTTATTTTGGGCCACCCTGTATATAATATTTTGGGCCAGGTGTTGAGACTGGAAGTTATTTTGCAGCCTCTCAACTCCTTCAGGGACCTCTCAGAATAACAAGATTCCTAAGCGTAGACTAGACTTTTCGATCATGTTCAGCTTGAACTCGATCAGAAAATTTATCGATGCCCTGCCAGTTAGAATCGGAATAAAAGCGAATAGGTAACCTTCCCTCCGATGTACAGTGGTACCTCGCATAACGAACGCAATTCGTTCCAGCGGTGCGTTAAATCCGTTCCACGTCGCCGCGAAAAATCAAGGGAAAAATGTTTCACTTTCACTCGCGAACACCTCGCATAACGAACGCACCACTGGAACGAATTGCGTTCGTTATGCGAGGTTCCACTGTATTTCTGGTAATTTGGCCAATGAGAACCAACTGGGAAATTTACAAGAAAGGAAGCAAATAGCAACAAGAACCCCGAGAGGGAATGGTCATGCACGTAACAGGGTAATGCGTTATCTGCCACGCGGCATGCCAGTGGGTTGTTGCTATTGTTAATAGGTCTTTTTACCCTGAATTTGTTCAGGTTTAACTTTTTTTTTAGTAGATGCCTAAAAATGTATTGATGGTAACCTATTTGGCTTATGATGAAAGCACATTAAAATACAAAGTCCTGAGATGAATGGATCCACTTACTTTTATTCGCTGTTCGCATGACTTTGATTGCCTGATTAATGCCACCATCTGTTTCATCGGTGACCCATACCTTATGCTGTGATTGTAGCATCCAGGGTCAACACATCGATCTATCGCAGTGGTCCCCATTGAATCATGGAGGACAATCGTGGATACTGGATCTAGACGTAGCATGGTTGAGAGAGCATGAGCCGGAACTAACAAAACCAGACGTTTTTTGCGAATGACCGAGCCATTGTTTACTTCACCGACCTGTCTCCATGTCACAGAGCACTTTGATGGGTGCATCGCCGATCAACGCTCCGTCAGGATCCACGAAGTATTCTCCTGTCCGTGTCACTCCCAGGTCTGCCAACGTCTGACACGTTCGGGGTGCTGCGATGAAAGGATTAATATATTGCCGTCAGCTGGAAGAACAGATGTACTTCTGAGGAAAGGCTTATCGAATGAAGGCGATCCTTTAGAGCATTTCGTACAGAAAGTGCAGTTCGAGTAACGACAGCATTTCATAAGACCGGCCTGGAAGATGCGATCGGTTGAAGTGCCACTGTAACCACTGTCTAGAGTGGTTCACTATGCGCGGGCGTATATGCGCAGGCGTCTATGCGCGTGCTTTTATGCGCGGGCGTCGTTCTAAGGCGATGCTAGCGATCAAATCCGCGTCCTATAAGGAACGGCACATGGTAACGAAGTTTCTGTCAGGAGAAGGCCAAATATAACAGCGCAGAATGCTCTCTCAATTCGAGAAAGGTCTTACATGATGCGAGTTTGACTCGTGGGCATAAACCCGCGAAGCACGTGAGAGTGCATAAGACGTTAAAAGGTCAAGGGGGCGAAGGGCGATCTATATGGGGAACTTTTCATGGCGTGGCTTGAAGCGTTTCGATGTGCCTCTCAGGTTCTTGTGCCCCTGCAGAACGCGGTTCAGGGGAAGATTGGTCGTCCTTAACATAGGAGTCGTTTTATTCCAAGTCATCGATGTGTTGTGGAGCCGTCTGTTGTCAGGGAATTTCAATAATGTACGATGCTCAACGCTGAATGCTCTCAAGTTCGTTACAGTCATCTTTGAAGAACAACTAACCGCAATTTACTGGTAAAATGGTGGTGACAGTCACTGTCCAGTAAACCAGACATTCAGAGCAATGGTAGGACATGCTGCGGATACCGAAAGAACCATTTTTGGGCCATTAACTCATCGAAATATTTTATGATTATTTGATGGCCCTCAATAATTATGATCGAAGGGTTTCAAGTCTCCACTCACTTATTTGTAGACTAATAGCCTCCAGATATTGGAGTCTTCCTTCCGTGACGTTCAGTTGAAGCTGTAGTTTATCTCTTTCCCGGAGATGTTCCTGCAAGCTAGACTTGAGATTTTCGTTCTCTTTTCTCATGTTCTCAATGTCATACTTCATTTTCTTGTAGTCGTCCCTGAGGTTTTCATTGTGATTCCACAGTTGCTCATTTTCAGACTTCAGTTGTGAGATTTGCTTCGCATGTTCTAGCACTGTTGCCCTCAGAACTAACATCATTTCTTCCAAGTTGCCACCAACATTTTCCCGTCCATGAATGGGAGAGCTTTCGAGTGCCTGGGAAATCAAAGAGTGACTACATATATTATTATCGCAAGAATAGCCTCATCTTAAAACCCATGAAGAATTTCTTCTTTACTTCGAGAAGGAAAATTGCAATTCTCAGCAGCCAAAAACCATTTATTCATTCCCCCCAAAACATTGAAAGAACAGCATATCAACAAAATACCCTGAAGGAGTTGTGGTGAAATTAATAATTAAATTTTCCCAAGTCTTCATTACATTCATCCACCATTCATGTGTTTGGAAGATTGCACATCCCCTTCCTCGCGGAAATCCGCATACTGGTGGAGTATATTCTCATAATTTGAAATGTTCAAAAACGGATGCGGTTCGACTTACATCTCCAGACCAGCATTTGGTTGAAAGGATCAGTGCAAACAAGAGACATGGATTTCCCCTCATATTGATGTGCAGTTTCCTGGA